CAGATCTGACGATTTTGTCATGCGAATCCGAATCGAACGCTTTCGAGGTAACGACAAACGCCAAGCTGAGGTTAGAAGCAGTCGCTGAAGAGTGACGAAGCAGTGCGTGCAACAGCGACCTGGCTTCCAAACAGCCGTCTCGATGCAGAGATGCAAACTGAAGAGAGGGTGTATCATTTTACTGCCGCTCGATGCGCTTTTGGAATAAACGAAGAAGACGCGTAAAGAATAAAAAGCGAACATTATGGGGATGTGTTGAATAGGTCCGAAGAATTCATCCCGGGACACCTTGCAGCAAGGTAAGTGGGGTTGTGGAGAATATTAAAATTACAGGGTTTGGTATGAAGTGTGAAATAGAAGGGACGAAAAACGTTGGGTTCAAAATATCGCCTGGGACTGTGTAAGGGAAAATGGTTTCTTTTCGAGGGGACTTGATTTACTTTCTTGTCTTTAAGGAGATCAGTCGGAAGATGCATAAACGTCTTCCAGAGTATGCTTAGTTGCTTTGTGATGTATATTATAAATGATTACAAACACCCGTTTTGGGCGAGAACCATGTCAAAGCGTGTCAGATTTCCTGCAGATACCTATGTGATAAATAAGCCTTTTTATGGTGGACTTGGTATATCCTCGGTTCGTCAGAACGACAGTTTCTCACGTTCTCAACTATATGGGTAAGCGCTTCCCCATTCTAGATATGTAATTCCTTTTGCACCTACATTCACAAAGATGCACGCAGTTCGAGGTAGATTGTGTGGTAAATCTGCCGTTTGTTGACCTTCGTGTCATGCTAAGAGGATACCTGAGGTAAGCAGATGAAAAAAGCGTGTTCTATTCATCTTTGGCAGCGTCAAACAAGAAGATTCAGTGTACCGTCTTTGCTGAACTGCAGTCGGATATGCGCTTTCCTCATTGGCAGAAAAGCCATTTGTAACTGCATTAGGGTAGTGGTAGAATGCTTTGTGATAAACGTATCGGGATACACATACTAATTTAAACCTTCCGCTCTAGATCTGACCTCGTTGCGGAATGTTTTTTAACAGAAATTTTAGCAAGCTTCAGATGTTCCCCAAACAGTCCTTTTATATTAGCAAAACAAACGTTTAATGTTCCAAATGCCACGTCGAAAAGAAATAAGTTTCTTGTTTTGCAGTTTTCTGGTAATATCAGAAACATCAAACTGATTCTGAACGCTAAACAGATTGTTTCGTCTTGTAAATAACTGTATGATTACCACCCCAAAGGATACATTATTGTGTATTTCTTAGAACTGTGATTGTTAAAATGCATAATATATTTTAGACTGCCTCTCACATGACGGGGTTTTCAGTCTACTGTAACTTGAGCTACACAATTGCACACATCCTCATGGCTCCAAAAAAGATGTGATAAAACAAGAAAATCGATAATTCGGAATTGTGGACTTTGTACGTGCGTGCTTTGGGCTGCTGAGCAGCTGTGCACCCAAAATGTTGAAGCTTGACGAGTATTGTTCATTTTTATCAGACGAGATATCTGCGGAATTGTGCACTTTGTACGTGCGTGCCTTGGGCTGCTGAGCAGCTGTGCACCCAAAATGTTGAAGCTTGACGAGTATTGTTCATTTTTATCAGACGGATGAGATATCTGCCATTAAACTCAGTAAACAGACAGTCAAACATCACAATCACTACAGAGAACGGGCAAGACAATGGGCGCTAACTTCCCGACCCATTACTTCGAAGAGCGGCGACTCGGAGCTTCAGGCAAAATGTGCACCACGGACCTAACAATAACAAAATGTTCTGCATTTTTGAAACTTTTGCTGCGGCAGTCAATATTAGATCACTTTTTAAAATTCATTCGTAAGTTTTTTGAGATATTCTCTCCAAACATACACCGAATGTATAAAGAACCGTCAATGCATAATGTCCACACACCTGCGTTTATTACTGCTACATTTTCCCATGAGTATAAAACCACACAATATATTTCCACAAAAATATCCACGGAATCACAAACCACTCTTGTCTTGCCAATTGTACTATTGAAAACCCTAGACCATTTTGAACATGCCGTCCTAGAAGATCCCAGGATAGCATACAATATCGCTCTGTTTAGGAGAGAGGATTTTCATGAATAAATTTTTTTCAATGATATGGGACGGTATCTAACCAAAGTTGACTACCCACTTAGTAAATTAAGCGCTTTTGGTTACTTATAATTTGAGTCGAATGATGTATGAATTCTCTGTTTGGTTGGCATTATAAACAGCAAACTAAAATGATGACAGCTACTTAAATGTTCCGTATGGTGAAGTTTTTTCGGGCGAAATTCCGCGTGCATCATCATCATCACCATCGACAGCGTCTTCCCGTATGTCATGCGTTTTCTTAGGGTTTGGTGGTGATACTTTTTGCGTTGCTATCATTTGCTATCGTGCAATCAGGGCGCTAATTATTTTTGTCCAACAGATCACAACCCACTGTGTACCAACACTTAGGCAAATGAAATGTTGGCGAAAAGTGTGTAGAAAGCGCTTCAGGTTGCTTGTTGAGCATACAAAATACTTCATGTGTTTTGGATGAGATCGACGCCTTCGCTTAGCTTGAACCAATGTGTTTGTGTACTCTATTCGTTAAACGTTGTTTTACATTTTGATGTGACCTTGTGTTTCATTATCACTGGGGTATGCCCAATGTCTCCACCTCAGAATCCAGATTCTGTAGGCTTCATACAGTCCTACAAATTAAAAACACTTTGATGAGTCGCGATTTATTTTGAAGTTCTGCTCAATGGGGACAATTCATTGTTCCTCTGAGGTTACTTCCTTCTATATACTTGGCCTGAGCCTCATTATTGTCGGGGCGATTGTCGCTTGTGGAACTCATCTCAATTTAAAACTCTTGTGCGGACCTACCCAACAATTTATGCAAGTTCTTGGAGAAGACCAAAAACCCATATCGTCAAACTACCAATCCTTGAAATTGGTCTCATAACACGTGAGTTGAAATAGTCCTTTGGTCGGCCTGTTTGTGACACAAAATATTTACTTGCTTGCACCAGCTGAGCCCTAAAAATGCCACGCTTGCTATTAACAAGTTTTGGAGCACCAATTAAAACAGGCACGGTTTTTGTTACCAAGTTCTAACTAATCTTTTGGCAGTATTGATTAGTTTGGTTTGTTTTTATACTTCAGGAAACGCTAATAATTAAGACTTGTTCGGCTATCAAAAGCGCACTAAGAGTTACTTGAATTATTAAGTGATCAAATACGGTTGGCGCTAAGTAGCACCGATCAAAAAGCATATTTTTTCACTAACTAAATATATAGGAAGTACTAGATAAAATAAGATTAAATAGTTTAGCGATTTTTCGACTCTATGAAATTTATGCGCTGGACGTCGTGTGCGGCAACATAAATATCATAAACGCCACCAGACTAGCTCTTCAAATTCACGGCATTTTGCTTGCTCTACTGGGTAAACCACACAAGCTGGATTTAAGCCAGTTTGCGCAAGGGTCACGGTCAAATGCATCCACGGGAGTGACTTTGGAATTAGGCCAACTTCCATAACGTTAATATCTATTGCAAGGAAGTCTAATTTTGTCAGCTTTATACAAATGACGCAACTCGGCATGATACAAACCAGATGGACACAACAAATACCAATTATATTGTTTGAAGAATGAAGCAAGAAAAATTTGATTACACTTCGCCGCATGTCTTTAACATAATCCGCTGAACAAATCTGTGCACAATAATTCCAGTTCTTTATGCAAAATTTCCCCATAAATTTGTTCAAGCGGTTGACGCACTGCAAATCCTGGGTTCTTTCTCTCAGTGAGCCACTTTGAATCACTCTAAACTTATTTGACGTGGCAACCCTAAAAATAAATTTTATCAGACGTCTCTCCATTAGGCACAGGCTAAAAACAACCTTTCTAATAATATCGCTTAAGTTTGTGTGTTTAAAATTTCGGCCTCCTTTTGATACAGCTACGTCGGCTTGACATCGCGAAAACGTTCAACACGGATACATAAATACATAGCGCTGTCGTGGTAAATGAATCAGTAACGCAGCGTGAATTGGTCCGGTGTATCCCATCCTCTTCCCACTTAACACGGTTGACGCTTTACCTAAACTGTGATTTACAAGTCAAGATGCCGGAATTTACAAGAACTAGGCCTCTTTCAACCGCAGCTTAAACTTTGTGTACAGAGACGCAATACGTTAACACAGTTTTACGTAGCCAAGCAGTCACTTGATGGCTTCAAGTGGCTCGCCGAACTTACACTAACAATATCGGTATTAACCGCAGTACGCATCAGTAGTACACGCTAGACGGTTTTCGAAAAAGTTCACTCCACGATAGATCGTTTTTAAGCTTTCCACACTATGCTGGTCAGCATATACACTTCGTATACAAAATGACCATCCTCCTCTTGAAGCCCACTTTGCTCAGTCTTTTATCGAATAGGGACGGCCTGAGGGCCATCAGTTCATGAAATTGGAACGCAGCATGATTGCTGTTACGGGTCACCTGAGTAGAGTTCTTGACTGCACCTCAGAATGATTGTAGTAAGCTAACACAAATTCCCCTCTGTTCACCTTTTTTCCTTTGTTCACAATAAGACCTTCAAATAAATCATGGTTGTACGCAGCGAAGCATTCGTGTTGAACATTGCCGTTTTCATCCGAATGGGAACCTCCTGTCAAAACAACCCAATGGTTAGTGACGCTGGTGGATGAGATTGTCACGCAGCTATTTCCACTGTGGCATCAAAACCATCACTTTAACTGCGTACCATTTACTCCTTGTCATGCCGGACAAAATGGAACAAAATGGAACAAAGTGGAACAAAATGGGCAAAACTGGAACAGATGGATCCATCCACCACCTTCAACGTGCGGCTTACTGTCTTTTCATCCTTATCTTTGATGAATAAAGCTGCAGCGGCTAAAACCACTGCACTCCGATTCACGAAAATGGAGTGAACTGAAATACTACTGGTTTCTGTTAGTACAAGAGAATACAGTTCATCAAAGCGTTGATGAATATCTTGGCACGTCATCTTCTTGAATATTGTTCTAGTCAATATTCTGTTGTCATCAAACGCCAACTATTATCCTGCTACTTATCATCCACTTTTCGGGTCAGACTCTGCTAAGCGAAAAATATTGACCAATACGTTCAGTAACTTTGTTCGATGCACTCAAACGTTATGGGGTGTTGTTTTGTAACACTTAACAAAAGTGTGTATTATGATGCCAAGGTAAACACCTCTACTGTACAATAGGCTTTGTGTTGCCTGATACGATTCAATCAGATCCCAAATCAGCCTCATCGAAATAAATATGGAATGTAATGCGATGCCAAATATCCCGGTTTATAAAACGTTGTGGAAAACTACATCGAAAGGCTGAATGTGTGATACAACATCCTGTCGTTCAGTGCAAAACAAGATGGCACGGCATAGAATGATTTAGGGTCATGTACTTCTTCGGGGGCGAGATGATACAAGTGGCTAAAACGCGAATTTACTGACCGGAAGGTTCGCGGTTCGAATCCGACCTCTGCCTCCCGACTTTTCCTGTCTAGGCTTTGGCAACCTGACAGTATCCCAGCCCTCGTGCTTTCTTCGGGTGACATAGCAGCTAGGCACCGGAAGGGTGTTACAGCTGAAAGAAGATTTCACTTCTTCGGTATACAGTACATTATGGTATATTATAGTACGAAATAGTATAAGGGCTATTATCTAACAAAAAATAATGTAATAACTCAAGGTACAGTGTGCGACCTTGTGCTATGGTGTGGTGCAATATAGTAGGGTATAGTGCGGATGAGTGTACCAGGCAGCATTGTATGATATATGTCCTTATATTTGGCATAGTACAGTGTAGTATGGTGCTTTGAAATAAAGTGCAGTCTAGTTTAGCACGGCCTAACCTGCGTCACGATCGTGTCCACCGTCTTTCATGAGATGGATTTGTTACTGCGTCCGTGAGCTGCCAAATGTACTATGTTCTTTAGATGAAAAGCCCAGTGTTCACTTACTACAATTAGAATTGTCTTTTTATTATTCAGACTGCGATTTAGTCAAATCCAGTAAAACATTAAGGCAGTCAGTCAGCTGGAATCTTACTAAATGAGTGTGACACATTAAGGACGGAAACCTAGGTGGAAGCACTAGAAAATCGCCCAAGTTCCCATGTGGTTCGCAAAGGTGGCACTGATCATCAAAATGATTCAATATGTTCAAGAGAACAATGGTGACCGTCTGTTTGTCCAATCGTGTTTGTTATACAGATGCTCAGACGAGAAGATTTTTGAAACCTGACAGATGTGTGAGCGGCTTGAGAAGCCGGTATATGCGCTGATGACGAAGTTGGAAAAATATTGCTATAATTTTTCACCTGCAACCGCCATGATAATTTTAATGATTGACCATGATTTAAACCTGCAATTTATAATTATATAGCAAGATATCAAGCCAGTTTGTCAACAGACTGAAGGCTCTGGCCAACGTTTCCATTTTAGTCAGTGTTGAACATATTCCTATACACATTATTAGAAAAACCTATCGGAGTGGATTTTAGCTTTTGATATTCAGATGACATGAATCCCTACCAAAGGTCAACAACCAGAATACTACAAACCACTAGCAGGAGTCCTTATATGAATGGAAAAGTCAACAATGAGTTGTATCGTGAGCTACATTGCCGGTTGTTACATGAGCCATAGCATAGGTTCTTAAGGATCAAACAGTTGAACGGAGAGTTTGGAGTGGACAAAACTGCCAAACTCCTGTTTACGAGATGGATATTTTATTGATTTTACTATCAAAGTCACTTTCTCTGTTTTATGCTTATGCAGCTGAGTTGATGCGTAATAGGATTTATTCCTGGGAGTCAAAGTGCACTGGAAGGTTGCTGATTGTTTTTGAACCACCACATTGCAAAGTTATGAATGCTATTGCAATAACTCATTTTGGCTTCACACGCTTGTCAGCCCAGTTTGCCAGCTAATCCGTTCGTTTCGAACAAGCAATTAACATATTACTCTTTAAAAACTTACTAACTAATTTGTAGTAACACACAGACGGGTAACATTTTTGACAGTCCATTTTTATCGGTTCATTAGAAATCGTAACAGTGACTCAGGAGAGCCATCTCATGTGAATAAAGGCAATTCACCTAAACAGAAAAATTTCCACAAAGCTGTTGGTGGTCAGATTGAAGATCAGAATGGACCGAATTTGGGATTTGATTTGACTTTATGTTGTTGTTTTAAAAGCCCGAATGGTTATCACCAGGACAGATTAAATTGAGTTAACCAGTGAAATTTCGATCGTTTCCCATTAGAAATCGTAACAGTTACTCAGGCGAGCCATCTCATGTAAATAAAGGCAATTCACCTAAACAGAAGAATTTCCACAAAGCTGTTGGTAGTCAGATTGAAGATCAGAATGGCCCGAATTTGGGATTTGATTTGACTTTATGTTGTTGTTTTAAAAGCCCGAATGGTTATCACCAGGACAGATTAAATTTAGTTAACCAGTGAAATTTCCTGGTGAGCGATTCCGGTTTGATGCCATCATATATTATCAGGGCACCGAAGGATGTGTGTATTATTCTGTATCCTATGGTGGGTAAACCGAATTTTGCACCAGAGCTTTTGATAATTTTTTCTGACTACCCTTACAGAGAATTCATTACATTTTCCAAAAAGGGATACTAGTTGCTGCAGAATAATTTGGATGGCTAAACCATCTCATAGTTACCATTTTCCACAGTTTTACTTTTAATCAAACATCCACTCTTGAAAAATGCTGCTTCCGATGGATTCTCAATAGTAAGCTTACTTGTGACTAACAGACACTACTCTTTATGTGAGGAATTTCAACTTAGATGTCACTATTTTTACGATATCAAACACGTTTTATTTTTCAGATTATGTCACCCATTAAAAGCGAACTAGAAAGATACGTTAAACAATATAGGTCGATCCAATGTTTCGAGGCTGCAAGTGTATTCCTGTCAATGCTGATGACTTCAGTAAGTCGCGTGCTTAGCTGTCAATACGATATGATGAATAATAAAACAAGTCTTTTACGATAACAATTTAGTTTGACGAATGCGCAATGAATGATGACTACTAATATGGACAGAATATAACCGACTTTATTTTAACACAGAGCATTTTACCTACAAATCCGCACGAAGTCCGCTAGTCTGCAACGTTTCTTAAATAGCACTGATTTAATTTAATTTGTTATAATATATTTGGTTTTTGGGCTAAAACACCTGGACGGAAGCACCATGTTTGTCTGCCATCAGACAGAGACCTCACTTCTGGAGGATGTAGTGTTCGCTCATGCACATAACCCCACCCAGCAAGCGTTCTTTCATCTCTCGTTTACGCTCTGAAGAATATGGAGTTGGGAACCATTATATTGTATATTATATATCTATATATCATATATTATATATTATATATATATTTACATCGTTAGACGAGAATTTAATAAAGCCGAGTGTTCATAAACCTGGGTATATTCTTTTACTAAGTGAGAAGTTTCACTGAAATAACCATTTTACTTCTGTCTGTAATGGTCAAATCTTCGGCCATTTTTACGGCTCATTTGTCTCTGGTTTAAGCATATTCCAGGCTCTTCGTAGAGTGAAGATTTCTTCTTGGTTGGGCCATTCATTATTACTCAGTTAAGAAAGTCATACTCTGTGTTAATTGCGCCAATCCACTTTACCAAAACAAAGTTTTGCGCACAGTCATGTTATTTTAGGAAACAAATTAGCAATCGAGAACAAAACCTGGGGTTTATTAGTATTTATTTTTGAAAACCACACACACCACCACCGCATGACGAAAGAGTTTTTTCTTACGAGTCTCACAATGCTACCAACAGTGGGAGCATTGTGGGCGGAGTTTTCATGACAGATGTAAGTTGAAAAAGTTCCTTGTTTATTTTTTGGTCGACCCAAAAACTCTTAAGAAGGAAATTTGGCAAATCCCTTTGACCAGTTAGGATATAATATAAAATGTGTTGATTTCTCCTGAGGAATCACACAATTATGAGCTGGAAAAACCTGCGCCTACCATTTTCGCGGCTGTGCTCTAAAAACATATTACAGAGTTGGAAAACTTATTGTCCACACGATGAAATATGTTTTTGCATTCCGACGTTTTCATCTGTCACTTAATTGCCCATAGGTTTTACAAACTTTGGATATTTTTTGATAATTTTTCACAAACTTTGACCAGCGTCAATTTTGATTTTATTGTTTTTATCTATATCGGTGACTTGTCTGATTATTTGTGACTTGTGCTTATTTTAAAAAATCGGCCGTATTTTTTCTCCTTTTTACAAATATACTCTTTGTTCTCCAGCCGAGTTAACCGATGTTGCTGCAAGCAGCACTCCCAATTTCCCATGAGTATTCCGTGGAACCATCTGAAGTGGAGGGTGCATCACCACACTCACAATGCTACCAACAATGGGAGCATTGTGGGCGGAGTTTTCATGACAGATGTAAGTTGAAAAAGTTCCTTGTTTTAAAAATTGGAAAAAAAGAGCACCTGAATGACTGTGTGATTAATATTATTGACAAAAAAGAGCCAGATTTGCTGACAGTTAAGTTTTTGATGATGCGTTCACATTGAGAGAAACTGGCTTTATTGCCTTAATCCTAAATCATTGTGACTTCGGTTACAATCAAAATCAAATAGTTATTTTATCAGTTGTTTCAGAGAACGTCATTCAGCAACTTTACTTCTACTGATGGCCAGAGATTCTTATTTGGAATTTCTCTTTTACGTTGTTCAAAAGTAGATTAATGACGCGAAACCACATTACTGTGTCATAATTTTACCAGTCATAATGTCTAAGAAACCTGTGAAAGCTGCCCCCTTTTATTAAGTTTAAACTTCTGCTTGCCGTGTTATATCATTATAATCTAGATATCCAACGAACGTTCACTAGAACTTTCTTAACAGTGCAATTTTTTGGGTAATGTTTCCTTGTTCCCATCATAATTACAGATATCTCTATTTCTATGATCTCGTTTGCTTCCAAGATGTATGACCAATTTTTCCTCCCACAGCTATCCGCTCACTGGATGTAGCCCACACACAAGTGGGTCGTTCGTGCACTGCACGGGTTTGTTTGTTATGAAAACACGACCAGGGTTTCTTAATCGAACACCAAATACTTTGTAATCAGTTTTGAGACCACCACTATTCGTGGACGTAAACAACACTATTGGACATTGCTTTGTTTCTGAATGCCTTTGCTCATCACCTGATTTCCCCGGTCCTGTTTGTATCAGGGCCGTTGATGCCAGCAGCAATGTAACTCGGTTATGAGTAAATATGGTTGTTGATTATTTGTTAGCTTGCATGGTTGACTGATATTACTTCATTCACTATATTCGTCATTTTTCGAGACAGAACACAATATTTCGACAACACGATTACCGTAGCATGCAGATCATTAATTTGAAGCATAACGCAGACGATAGATTCAGCTGCGACTCACTCGTTAGAATTAATTACATTGGGGAATGAATGTATTTGGTAACTCGCTAATAAGTATTTTTAAACAAACAAAACTATGTATGGACCATGCTGATGTTTTTTTTCAGTTTTGGGCCCGCGCTTTTACTATAGCTCAATGAGACGTGATATGATACCACTGATGCTAAAAGGGAATATTTCTATTTTACCACTGATGCTAAAAGGGAATATTTCTACTGAGAAACACATCATTTTTCCGTACGGAGGACGTCGTAATGTACGAATGTCGTAATGTATCAGAAAATCTGATATAGATTTGTAAAACATCAAAGGAGAAATTAGGTGTATAAGAGGTCGTCTAATATCCTTTGTCCAAAATGAATAGTGCCATAAGTATACAATAAATATAATTCAAAATTATTAGTAATTGCGCAAAAGCAGACTGCCTCGCCAGACCGTTTGTGCGGGATGCCTCGTTGTAAGAATTCTGAGACACGGTCAGCTCACAGAATTTTAAATCAACCAACGTCTGGTCAGCGCACAAATCAGAGTAAAATTTTTGATGTGGTCCCGCACTGCGGCGGAACAAATTGAGGGTGCAGACGCCAACAGATATGATATATCTTCACAGCAAAACCAAAGAACTATTGCGAGATCATTTATTCAGCAAGGAACGGCGTCTAGCGTAATCCAAACGTACAGGCGATACAAACCGTGATCTGCATATTTCGCCTCATTATAGAACTACTTGTTGCTTGCCCGCTCTATCCGTCGCATGACAACCAAATCGCCTAATTCGACTTTTTCGGTGACTAAATTCACGGTATGTGAATGAGAACAAAAGCTTAATATTATTATTATTGTAGTGTCGTGGTTAAGGAATGAGCTTGTGTTGCAGTTTCTGACCGTTTTCTCTTAAGTGGACAGTGAAGGTTCAATTTTCCACTCCAGCCAGTTTGTTCCCGAACATTCACAACTATAAGCAGATGGCTTAGTAGGTCAAATCAAAGTTACGAAGATGTCACTTGTTCTAGCTTGATTTTCATAAGGTGAAATTCGGGCATTCAGTTTCGGACGAGTGCAGTATTTAGGCGGAAATTAGGAACCAAAATCGTGTCGATTTTGAGTTAGTGGTTTAACAAAACCAGTGTCCGTTGCGTTGTGATAAGCAGAGAATCATTTATTATTCATATTATTTTCGAATTGACAAAAACTAAAACGTCATGTGCAACGACATTTTGTCTAAATCTCAACTAATACCCACGTGTTATCCTACGCAATATATCCCTATCTGCGTATCAGGCTCTTTTTATTCGATTGTTAAATGAGTATATGACAAGATATATCCCAATCCTCGCTAGGGCAAATTATACCGAGTCAAAACAGATCATTTATCGTCATCATCAACAGCAGTGTTCAAAACTAACGTCCCGAGAGCGTTCAGCCATAATCTATTTGAGAATAGAACAAACGTGTTATCACCATAACGAACGTGCACATCAGTCCAAAATTGTGTGCTCTAACTGGTCAACGTGACAGCCAAGCCCCTGAACAGTGATTTTTTTAAAACAGGAGTTCATATCCTTGATGTTAAGTAAAGGCATATCAAAAACATCTTTGGACAAGTTCAAGTTGATCGCCTTACGGGCAATTTAGAGGATATGAAATTACACCAGGTCAAACACAATGCGTAAATCCATGCTCTCTGTGTTAATGGCACGGTCGTTATATTGGACAAAAAAAAACATGTCCAAAGGATGCTGGAATGTTTGAACCAATTCGATTCGGAAATTAGATTCATAGATGTACACGAAGAAATATAATACTTTCCCACTCTCCACGTCCATATAGCAGAGATAAAGTTGAACTGGACATAACAAAACCCATCCTGGGCGACAAATTATTACAACGTTAAAAGATCTCCAATACATCGTAATCTTAGTACAAGGCTAGAAAATATTGTTGTGATGAGAAATCAGAATATATAACAACCCTACTGTGGTGTAACAATCACCTTAGTAGCTTCATCAAATTGAATTAGAGACCCTCCAACGGAAGTACAAACAAGATGGCGTAACCAAAACTCTTTTAAACAGGTCATCATTTTAAGGGAACCAGAATATCAGGCAGCTGCGACGATTATTCGGTCAAATTTTCACAAAATTACTAAACTCCGCGACATTATTAGCGCTAAAAAACACGACAAATTCTTGGTGAAACTGAGACAGACAAGCCGTAGCTTTCGTCAAATTTTCCTGCGTACACCGCTTATAATGCGAGTTTTGTAGTAAACGCGTTGATCACGCTTATCTACGAAAATTTCCGGGTACCTTCCATTGTTCTTGGAAATTGATAACTCAAAAATCCCATCCGGAGCACTCGCGCGCCGCTTACTGAGTTGTATCTGATACACAGAACTAAGACAGTGGCATTGGATCGAAATAGTCATCCACCAATATATCGAAATCGACCAAATATACCAACCATTGAGTAAAAAAAAACTTCGAAGGCCATATTACCCGAA